TCAGTCCTCATTTTTAAGCTTATGCTTTATCACCTAATATTGTCTAATAATGTAGCTTAGCTGAAAATAACTTTTAACTTACCATAAAAATAACAATAACAAACATTAAAAAATATCTACGCTGCAGTCTATTTAACGGATACAGCATGTGCCATATAAATGACTATATCATTTGCTGAGCTATATAAATCCTATGCAGACAGTGATAGGTTGAGCCTGAGTAGTTTTCTCTCAGCTGTGAATAATACATAAGATATTAAAACAGCACTTGTTTCAGACAGTCCGCTTCCTGCCCCTCGCTGTCTCATGGACTGTACCACTTCATCAGCCTCCCCCCCCTCCCTCAGCCTGACAGTGGGCCGCTCCCCCTTCTTCACCGGCCGCTTTGGTTGAAGCCAAACCAGAACATCATGGCGATTGATGGTAAGTAGGCCAATAACGTCTGTGTGCTGTGCCTGTGATGAACAGTGCGTGTCAGAGGTGGACACTGTGGACCAGAGGGGGGGATTGTGGATGCAGCAGAACGGTGTCTTGTGTGTGTGGAGTCAGTGGAAGTAGTTTCCGTGTGTGATCTGTGTAAAGCGGTGGTTCCCCCCCCACCCCCCTCGGGCTGAGACAGAGAGGTGTGCGTGTGTCGGTGGTGCTGAAAGGACAGCTCCACAGTCCTCACTGGGCTGGCTGCTGTTGGATTTCACTCCGGAGCTTCTGTCTCACGTTGAACTGAGCTGGTCGTCTGCTGCCTCTCTGCAGCTGGGACTCTACAACTGATACTAAACAGAGTGATCCTCAATCACAAGGAGTTTGAGTCTGTGGCTTCGCTTGTCCTGTAGATCAGCCTTTGTCTTTTTCCATCGGTGTATACCTTTACCTGTTGGATCCCGCTCTGTGTCCACACCTCCCTCTGCGTGTGTGACTCCACATGTCGCGAGCAGCTTGGGAGCTCAGTTTATCAGTTTGAGAATCCTCACAAGCTGCTGAGTGCAGTGTTTTTGAATGCCACTGGAAAAAGAGGACATTACAAAGCTTAGCAGTAAATAAGCTGTTGTGTAATAATGTAGAGTGGTAACCTTTACCCCATTCAGTCAGAATGACAGTCTGGGAAAATGTACACTAAGTGCTATATTCCTGAACATGTCACTTTAAAGCAAAAGTTGCTTCAAAGAGAACTGGTATTTAGTTTTAAAAGTAAGTATAGTAAGGTGAGAGTAAAAAGCTTGAATGCATCTGGTGAATACAAGTCAAATTGTGCATTCATGTGGTGTTGGAATGATCAGAAAAATAAGGTACTAACTGGGATAAATCATGTGAACACCACCTAAAGTTAGAACAACGACTCGGAAAGTCAAGTTGCAGATGTTATCACTTACGGAAAAAATCACATGATTTTATAATTAGCTCTAAACAGTAGTTTCCAATGAGAACTGGGTTAGGTTTAATATTACATTTAGGTCATTTGCACCTGATATCAGACTTTTTATCAAATACACCTGATCCCTTTTCTTGGCTCTTTGTAATAATGCAAATATTGGAATGATGGGTCCAGGTGTTGTTTAAACACTCTAAACAGAAAAATTCAATACAAGATGTTTACAGCGTCCAAGTTTCGTCCTCATTCTTCAAAGCACATAAACACCAAAGTCTAATTAATGACTGCAACTCAGGATATATGGGACCTTCTGAAGAGTGAATTAATAAAACTTTAAGGACAAACTGATTCACAATTCAGTGAAACATGTAATAGAAATCTACATAGATGTTATTTATGTTTATGATCCTCAGCCCCTCTATTCCACATGCTGCAGTGTTAGGGGTGATGCATTATTCTAGTGTTTGATTAGATATTTTTGACATCATTTGACAGGAATGAAAACAGTCACATTCTAATCTGGAACTTGTTTATTGGATGACTTAACCTTATTTTGCCATTTTACTGGTGAAGGGAGTTACTGAAAACAGTGTGTAGTCTGGTATAAAGTGCAGTTTAATGGAATGTGTTGAACTGTTTTTTTCACATGTTTGTGAAGAGTACATGAAGACATAGCTGAACGGATGCATGTTACAACCTCAGATTTATGGTTTGTGTTTGGAGCCCGACAGATATATCAGTTGGCTG